CGGATGTAGTAATAGGTGATTGTTTCCAGATCAGCAGCAACAGAGAAAATACCTTACCGAGTGATCGACAAAATATGTCAAAAGAAAACCTCTAAAGAAGGTCATCAGCCTTTAGAACGATTGATGGGAGCACTCCTTCAAACCATAAATTGATCAAATCAAGACTTGTCATAGAATCAACAATCCTTAACAATTGAAAGATTTTGGGCTTTATCATATGCAAATAATCTTGTAAATTACCAAAAGACCCCATGAAAGGTTAATGATTAGGAGAATAATATATACTTTTGTAATCTTAGGACCTATGCATATAAATAATGATCCATATTATGGATAAAAGACACATTTTGCTTGTCTACTATTGCTTATTCACACACACTCTCTCTTATTTGTCCCCTAATAAGACTTTCCATTCCTTGGGCGTAATTCTAGGAAAATCTTATATACTAATTTCAAATTTTCTGGATTGCCTTGTTTTAAATTTATAATTTTTTGTTAATATGATAAACACGTTGGATTTCATTTAACAATGCATTTAATTATGAGTTTATTTATTAACTAGTTTATGTACAATATTTATTAATTTAGATAAATAAAGTGCAAATTAAGTACGAAAATAGATGTGAAAGCTCTGTTCGATCTTATGCCAAACATGAAATATATGCATTATGGCCATGTTAAGGGTCTTGACCCAACTTACTGCAAACTCTCATTGTTAATGGTGGAATCAGAGGGTAAGTGGCTGGGGAGGCACTCACCACCCCTAGACTCTTACAACTCTTTAATATCCCCATCTCCCCATGAATATAAATACTTAATAATAATTTATTTTTAGTTATATTCTTTTATTTGATATATCTTATTTTTAATTATTTTAAAACTTTAAGGAGAATGAAGATTTAAGGAAAAATATTCACCATCCCTTAGTTTTTGATTTCACCACCCCTCCCCTTAAATTTTGGTTCTGCCACAACTCATGTTGAAAAGAAGTATGTCATGTCATATTTACAAAAGTAAAATAAAATAAAATAAAATAAAATACATAAAAATTCAAATTTTCAAAATTAGAAAACGGTGTCAAGATTGCAATAGTTAATTTTAGAAAAAAAAAATCATTAATTTTTCACTAATGCTAAGCAATTTTTAAATTATTAAGGGCTTGTTTGGGATCAATTTTTTTGTGTGTTTTTTTTTAAGATTTATATTTTATTTCTAAAAATAAATTATCAGGGATTTGAAAGTACTCAAAACAATAATTAGATGTTTTGAGTGTTTTCAAAAAGAATCAAATATTAATAAAAAATTCTAAACATGTTCTGTTTAAATTAAAAAACAAATTAAAAATAAAACTAAAAGTGATCGCAAGCAACCCTTAGTACATAAGTGTCTTAAGCCGGACTGATGCAGCCCATCATAATAAGGCAGGTTGTTTCGTGTTGGGGTCACAATAATTAAATAATTATCCAAGATCTATTTAGAAAGAATTTTATTTTCTTTAATTATTATAAACATGGAGCCATAAATACCATCATATCATCAAAATATTGTAAGACATAAATTCTCAAAATTCATTCATATCATATAACAATTGTGCAACAAAAGAAGCACATAATAATGATATAAATCTCTCAATCTCCATAACCATAAATAAATAAATAAATATATATATATATATATTATGATATGACAATTTAACTAAGACCAACTCTTAACAATAACCAATAGTCTCTACTCAAAATGAGTCTTATTCTCCCTTGAAAAATATAGGTGAATAAAATAAAGATGAGCAACCACAAATGAGCAGCCTACTCAAAATTTATTATATTTTTCAATACACAAAAGTGAAAAGAACATATATTTATTTCAAGTGAACTAAAAAATTATCACAACATATGATGTGTTGTGTATGTACTTCCAAGTATGGTTTTAGTATAAGAACTAGTGACCACAATACACATATATTGAGCAACAATATAAATAAGATGCTATTAAAAGCAAAATAAAATAATATGAAATAATAATTCATTTTTTTATTTGAAATATTTTATAATTTTTTATTTGCCCTTTTATATCCACTTCCACTTATACCTCCACTTGTTCATATTTCTTATTTATCCATTATATTTTCACTTCTATTAGTACATTTACTTTTTCACATCCATTCAGACATATCAAACACATAGATAAATAAATTTATAAGTGTTTATACTTTCACCAAAGATTTATTCTCTGCATTGATAACTGGTTCTTCCTCTATGGACAACCATTTGGGGACAACGATCTTCGTCTTCATGGATTTATTCCTATCATCTTCCAGTTTCACGACAGCTCATCCACCTGTAAACATAAGACGACAATCAAGAAGTGCAAGGAGGGCTATGTCAAACTGAAAAGGAGGAGCCTATATTACCTTCCAAAATGAGTTTGACCACATCCTTCTGAGTTTCCCCCGCCACCTCCATAGCTCAATCTTTCACTATCTCGACATTTTTCATACTACAGTCGTTGAGAATAGTTAGAAGCTCCAGCTGCTAGTCAATAGATTTTTCTACAGAATAAATTCTTGAATATCAAGAGTGTGGAACCATAAAAAACTAGAAAAGAAGAAAAAAATCAATGCACCACCGCCTGGACTCAGATCTAGGAGCACAATTATGTTGAAACCCTTCCCCTAGTCATCTAAATAATAAAAAACTTGTGATCCAGAACCAACTTTCTAAACCACAACCACTAGTTCCCCAAAGATAAGATCTAAAAATGGCAGCACTGACATTTCCTTTGCAGCCATCTCGTTCAGATCGACTTTCAAAACCACATTTGAAGTCACGACAGGACTATCTAACATCCCTTTCATTTTGATGGGCTTTAAACTCTCTACATAACTGTCCTTTCCTTCTGAATCATTTGGAACCTTAGAATGTTTTCCCCTTCTAAGCCTCAGTTGAATAATCACTTGCAACTATTCTTGAAGGACATTCACATTTTCCTTGGATACCATACCTATCAAAGAAATATCAAAGTAATGATAGAATCTTGAGAGAAAAGGGAAGGAGCACAAGAACAAAGATTTTGACTCACAATATTACACAATGACAGACACAACCCTTAAATATCACAAACGAGTTAACATAAAAAACTTTCTTATAACCGCAGAATTTAATGTCGCCATTAGCAACATTATCTTTTTCTTATGACAAGGTGAGTGTGTATCGATGGGCGTGACTAGTGTCATCTTATTATCTATTTTAAATGATTTGATAGTTATTATCAAACAATCCCAAAAACAACGCATCGACACATCCCATAAAACATAGAAGTTTCAAAATTTTCACATTCTACTCTACCACTTCTTAGGAGCGCACACCTTCTAAGTGACTGAAAAATTCATATCTTTCTTAACTCGGCAAGGAGAAAATATTCTTGAAACATCTCTAAGTCATAATCATTGAATACGTTACTTCCAACACTTTGAAAGTGAAGGTTTTTGAATGATAAACAGTCCACAGTTACTTGAGAATTCTCGTGACTACTCCCTACATGCGTAGCCTCCGAACCCTTGAAAGAAGGAAAGTCTGACATCAATGGTAAACTATCACAACTACTCTTCAAGGCATAGCTCGCAAAGTTTATCAACGGTGTAAATCATCATTTCGATTGCATATGAATATACATGTCTTTGGACAAATCCAAGAGGGAGGAGTGCATGTTGTGATACATTTCTTATTATATTATTCTCTCATTATTCTCGCAATATCTAGTCGAAGAGCTAAAAGAATTAGAAAATTAAATGTACATCCAAAAATGAGTTTCTTTAAGCAAAAGGAAGGCCCAAATACTAAGTAGATCTCATGGGCTTAATAAACCAAGTCGAAAAGTTGTGCATTTATTGATCTGACATTGAATATTTCAATCATACTCATTAGTCGTACCTTTTGAAGTGACTAACTAAAGAGTTTTTTACTGTCTAGAAGGTTTTTGCGAAAAAGCTACGAAGTAAGTCAGTGTTCAAGCGAGTTCCTCATAACTGATCTACCCAACCTGACCTTCAAACAAGCTCTTCCTCTTAAACTCGCCTACATATACATTGCCAGAGTTCTTATTCCATACTTGTACAAGCTGATTGAACATTTTCACTAAACTCACTAACAACTACCTGACTACACCATCAAACTCAATCGACAGCTCTTCGAAACAAAATGAATAGAATTTTCATCTGTCGGTATATATACTATTATTTTTTATTAGTATGACAATCAATACCAATACTTTTGTCGACAACGTGGCTACTTAGGCTTCGTATTAACATAATATATTACCTAGTTTAATGTTTTATTCACTAGACCCCTACGTTGGATCATATACACCTTTCTCAGTATATAAATAAGAAGGGATGAGGGGGACCTCTTTGGCTCTCTCTCTCAATCCTACACCCTAAAAAAACTCTCTAAAAGTCTCCTAGCTTCTCCTCACTCCTTATTCAAGATCTCTCACCGATTGTATGACTTCACGAATTATATTGAATCTCGCGCACTAAAAAAATTCAACAATTATCTATCAAGTGATAATGATGATTTGCTCTATTAATCTAAATTGATATGGTAAAATTAATAATAACAACTATAAAATTTCACTTGGTGATCAACTTCCCTTGATAAACATATATTATATAGATGATGATCTACAAAAAATTTCTAACCAAAATATTTTAATAAAAGTTTGATTAGGAAATTTTACATTCATTTAATTTATTTTTTAAAAATATAATATGTACTAATTTTAAAATGCATCTCATGAGCATTCAGCTTTCTAACACAAATCATTTCCCTTATTTAAAGCGACGGGGGATGATTGATCCTCTAAAATGTACAATTTTTTTATATAAATAATAAATCTAATATATTTACAAATACTTAAAATAAAATTAGACTTTTACAAATTTCACCTTCCCTAAAATATAAAATGTCGGTTTCCCCCCAAATTATTTGAAGGCCCCATTTCCTTACCAAGTGCCCTGCAAACTTCACTAAATACCCAAACCCTCCTTCCCATTCCACTCTCCCCTCTACACTACCTCCGGCAATGGGGACCAAATGAAGCCGGATCTCCGGCGAGCCAATTCCTCCCACAAATACATCCTCAATGGAGCTCTCCTTAGCACGCGACACCGCCTCGTGGGGCGACCTCCTCTGCAAGGAAGACGCCGATGAGCTCGACGGGCTGCCGGTGGGGTCTCCAGCCACCAGCGCGGTCTCAGAGTTTCCGAACGACTCCGATGAGTCGATTGCTGTGTTCGTGGAAGGGGAGGCGGAGTACTCGCCGGCGGTGGATTATCCGGCCAGGCTCCGGTCGAGGTCGATCGATCCCGCTGCTCGGGAGCTTGCTGTGGCTTGGATTCTTCAGGTGAATGTGTTTACCATGGGATTAACGGCACACAATTCCGATGTATTTACATATCTCACGCATAAAGTTTCATTTTTTTTTGGATATATAACATTTTGGTGATTTAAATTTATGGATGAAAATGTTTATTTTACCTTCAAAATGTGTTAGTAGTGCTATAAATATAAAAGTTAGGGGTGAGATATGTCAATACATAAGAATTATGTGCTATGTATGTAAGTTCCCCATATTTATTTTTTTTTTTTGTTTTCTTAACAATTCATATGTATTTAGATATTTAACATTTAAAATTTGATATTTATATTTATGACACTTTAAAGTCATAATTTTATGCATAAAAAGAATTTTCAACTTTTAAAAAAATTGAAAAAAATAATAATATTGGATATGACATTAAATATTTGAGTGTCATTAACTTAAATATGAAATATTAGTTCGAGATATGAAAATAAGTTCAAAAGTTTTTTTCTATAGCTCCATGGTAAAAGAATTTTTCTAACTTTATAAGGACAGAATGGGAAAAGTAAAATTTCAATGTGCGGAGAAAAATTTGCGTACACGCAGCGTTGGGTACATAACGAAGATTATATGAGTGATATAACGGCATTATATTCACATTATATCCTTGTACCATCCATATAATCCATATATAACATACATATAACCTCCATGTAACCTCTATATAACATCAAATATTATTATTATTTTAAATTTTACTTTTCCCATTCTGTCCTTATAAAGTTGTTTTAAACTACTCAGTATGCGTAGATATTTTTTTAAGAAAATAATTTGAAATTTTAAAGAAGAAAAGTTTAAGAAGATATTGTAAAATGGCTAATATAAAATTTAAATATAATGGCAATTACGCTTTTTATGCTATGATTCTTAGGATTGAACTTCTTAGTTGTTTTTTTCTCTCTTTTTAGTGAAGGGGAAATGTATTTCGTCACCTAACTTCAATTATAACAATGGGGTGAAAAAGTCTTCAAAGGATGGCTTGATAAAAGGCGTGCAAGTTCCTTCCTTCATTAGGCCATCATTATTAAAATGATTTTACATGGAGATTGTTCACTCCTTTTATATAAATTAATTTATTTTCTATTTATTAAAAATAGAGAAGCATTTTATAAATGTGTAATCATAACAACAGACACGATACGCTAGAGTCGGTTTTTTAATTCTCCTCCGCTCTATTCGGTCGATCGTATCATTTGTCTAAACGTAACTTACGAACAGCTTCCAAAATTCAGATGTCATAATTTTTTTCAAAAAAGAGCTTTAGTTTGCAAAATAAAATGCACTTTTTCATAATATATTTTGACATAATTTTGGAAATTAAAATGCTATATAAATAAATAGAAAATGTTAAATATTAGCTTTGTAAAGTCATTAGTTCTAAGAGTTATTCCAATTAAATTTTCATAACAAGTATATGCTCTATTTATTTGAAAAAAAAATAAATATCATATATTGGATTATTACATACTTATATGTGAGTTGTTAGTTCTGAGAGTAATTCTAATTAAACTCTATTTACTTAAAAAACATACTTCCCAAAAAAAAAAATAGAAATTAAGGAGGATATCTATAATAATTAATTTTTTAAATAATGATTTTAGAAATTTGATACGTCAATTTTATATAAAAATTATTCTTTTAATTACATTTTAATATTTTAATATTTCAATATTTTATCGCAAAAATCTTTATTATTTCTATTTTTTTCCTTTATTTATTCATTTTTTTAAATATGCCTTTCACGTGCTCCAGAAATCAAATGAATTTATTAGATTCGAGATATAAAAAATAATTTTTAAAAAAAACCCAAAGGTGTTGTTTATTAAACCGGGTGCAAAAAATAATGCCGTAATTAACCTCTTTTTACTTTTTGTTCTTTTGCGGCAGGTGCACGCGTACTACAACTTCCAGCCATTGACGGCGTATCTCGCCGTTAACTATATGGATCGCTTCCTATCCGCCCACCGTTTGCCGGTGCGCTCCTCTTTTACAATTTGCTCCTCTATTTTCCGCATCCTTACATATTCATACATCTAAGACAGTTTATGTATAGTTGGTAATGAAACGGCCAACCATAGGATACCTATAATATTTGCCCTATAATTTACATCATATTTAGATAATTAAACTAGTTTAATTATTAATTAACCCCTGACTTGCCATATCGTGAAGCAGCAATCAAATGGATGGCCGCTGCAGCTTTTGTCAGTGGCCTGCTTGTCTCTAGCTTCAAAAATGGAGGAAACCATTGTACCCTCTCTGATTGACCTGCAGGTTAATGATTTTTACTCTTAAGCCCAAATGCGCAACTAATTTGCAAATATGGACACATTAATTATGGTCGATATTGAAATATAGAATTAAATACAGGTTGAGGGAGCTAAATACATATTTGAGCCTCGGACAATCTGCAAGATGGAGCTGCTGGTTCTAACTGCACTGAAGTGGAGGCTGCGGTCTGTGACTCCATTTAATTACATTGATTTTTTTGCCAGCAAGGTAGATCCAAGTGGGCTGTATGCAACAGATTTGGTTTCCAGTGCTGCACAGATAATTTTATCTGCAATAAATGGTACTAATTTATGAATTCTTTTATAACTTATTATATATATATATATATATATATATATATATGTTTGTATCTGAATAGAATCAATGTAGTTATTTTATATGAGAAAATGAAATGGGTTTTGGGATCTGATTGGAGATATACATATGTATGTGTTATGGTGCAGATATTGATTTCTTGGACCATTGTCCTTCATCAATAGCTGCAGCTATCATCATGTGTGCAGTTGATGAGGCTCCTGATCTGGCTTTCATTGACCCCAGACAAGCGGTCAAATGGTGCAGTGGACTTACTAAGGTAATTAAGATGGTATTTATTCTTTTATTTTTAACCTTTAACTTGAGTTTAAAGTATAAGGGAGAAGATGGTCAATTCAAATGTATTAAATGAGAATTTAATCAGGTGATAAGAAGGAGATTATTTAAGAGTAATCTTAATGACCTTTTTGTTGGATCTTTAAATTTTATTATATTTTGAATAATTTTATATTAACATTTGTAATGAGTTTAGACACAAGTTGATAAGACAGATTGGTGTGACTCAAAATTTGATTCATTACAAGGAAAATTTTTTCTGTCTGGACTCCAGACGTGGGCCCCACATTATTTAAAAATCACCCATATTCAGAGCATTACAGTGGGGGCCTACTTGCCACGTGACAAGTTTTCACTGGCATCATGAGTCAACTATAGAGCTCATGAGTCAATCACACACCTACCAGTGAAAGCTAGATTATTATAGATTATTTGAATTGATGTGATATTACATCAGTAACTTTTTGGACAAAACAAATTATTCACCTAATTACAATGTTGTCAAATAAAAAAAATTTGTTTCCATGCTATATTGCTCAAAATGATGTGGTATTATTTAGTAATCAATATATAACAATTATAATCACTCATTCTTGATAATTTAAAAATAATTTTACTAATCTCTTACTTAGACTCACCACTTCTAACACATTTTATGTGTATTTTAGTTTAAAAGGTAATTTTTTTATCATTTTACTCGACTTTTAAATTTTAATATATTTTAAGTGTATTTTATATCAAGATTTTTTAAATGAGTTGCCCCTATAAATTGACAAGATGGGGTGGAGCCACTCAAATTTTTATTATTATTAGCTTTTTATTACGTCAAGCCCCCATTAGCTCATGAGCAAACTAAATTAGACACTTACCAATGAGATTATAATAGTCTGATATTACACATTTAACTTTTCTTTATAGAAAATATTAATAATAGAATAATAATGTTGTCAACTACAAAGTATTTGGTTCCGTGCTATTTTCTGCTCAACTAATATAATAATTAAAAATCATGAGCCCAAATAATTCATAAATATACAAATCTATCATAGATGCAACAAGCCTATGTGCTTGGAGAACCTCACAATCCTACTACATCTTCATCCTCCAGGAAGGCATTACTGACTCCTACAGATTCATGCAGCAAGTTGTTATAAAAGGAGCGAAGGGAAGAAGATCTCCCTTCATTCTTCCTCATCCAGTGACGACTTTCATTAATTTCAGCTCTGAGACCACTTCATCTTCTTGCTTCTCTTGCTCACCCAACAAAAGAAGAAAGCTAAGCAAAAATTCCTTATCTAAGAGAGAAGACAAGGAGACAAAACATGAAGCTGAATGATGGAGATGGAGATGTTGGCAAGAATAAAATTTAATAATAAAAAAAAAAGCTTCATTATAGTTGCGGATTCCTCATTATTTTTCTAGAGGAGTTTGAAGTAGATTAGAATATAGTATTTGTGGGAGGAGTTGAGTTTGGTGGATGATTGATTTTATTTCATTTGTTTTATTTTTATGGCTTTATTTCTCTAAGCTCTATTATTTGTGGTGTTTTGCTTATAGCCAATAAGTTTATGTCAACATGTACATTTGAATGAATGGCTTCTAGATTCCCAAAGGAGGGGGATCTCACCATTCCTATGTGTTTGTTGGAAGTTGAGGGAGGATTAAACATGTAGGAGCATTGATGGCTGAATGAAAGATGAGTGATGATGGGTCTTATTTAGGCCATTGAGTGAAAAAGTGGCAATCAATTTGGGTTGGTAGAAGGCAGCTTCTGAAGTTTTTTTTATGTCATTTTGTCAAGCTTATAAGTCCACATTTTCCACTCATTTATTCAAATATTGTACTATCATTTCTTTTATTTATTCTTTTCTTTTTTCTATTTTCTTCCTCCAGTTGTGTGGGGGCACAATAGTGAGGACAGTCCAAAATTCAGGCATATTTTGCCTAAACTTTGGCCTAAACTCTTCTTTAAAGGAGGACTTTGGAGTCTTAATTCCTGTGTGTTTGTATCATTTGATTTCAATAATTAAGGAAATATAACTTCGAGTATGATATTATTTCTGTGTCTGCCTCATTGTTGTTTTGTTGATGAGCTCTTTTTTTATTTAATGTATTTTAATTATGTTGCCATGGATAATTTCTAGTTTAAAGAGCTGAAATTCTGATGAATATATTGCAAATATTGATTGTTTAATTACATCCTGGATCAAAGCTTTGACCATCCACCAATTAATTATGCATAGCATAAATCAGGTAATTATTTGCAAATTCAAGCCTAATATTTGGATTAGCAGAAAAATAAAATATGTTCAGCTCTTTTTTTTTATTATGAAGTATATATACTCTTATTCAAAACTAAAAGCATGCCACTTTCTTTATGAGTGAATGTATAAAAATAAATGTGCCATTTTGAATAAAAATAATATTTAAAAATAAATAATCAACTTGTTAGATATGGCTCATATACCAGATAAGGGGCAGATGCTGGAGCGGAATAGAGCGAGCCAGTGGAGCGGAGCGAGCGAGCGAATCGGGGGAGTTTTGTTAAGCGTGTTGGGGGTGCGGGGGCAATGGCCCCGTGGTACAGTACAGAGGTATTTATGTCATTTTCTTATGGGTTTTATCTATATATATGATGTGTAGTACTATGGGTATGTACTAAACTTTTCTGTGATAGTGAAATCGCCGCTCTGCTCCCGAGGATGTAGGCACAAATTGCCGAACCTCGTAAATCTCCAGTGTTCTTTTCATTTTCTACTTCGATTTTTCAATTCCTACTCTCTAAACAACTTGCGTTTTTATCATGCTTTTGAGTTGGGATTATTGGACTTGTGGCATGGTAAATTATTGACTTGGAGCTATTTTTCAACTTTTAAAGCCAAGGATTTCACCCTTCCTAACTAGAGGCAAAATGAAACTGCTGATGGAGAAATTTCATATTATTTTGAACTGTAAAGGCATGACTAATGACCCATAAATCAATTTTTAAACTGTACTAAATTTATCTTAAATGAGACAATCTCTTAATCAAAATAAATCAATTTCTTAATACTGAATCAATTGCCGGACCCACTAAACACAAGTATGGCAAAACCGACTTATGACTCCCATTGCTTGAAAGTCCAACGGCCCATAATTAAACTAAGAGTTTGCGTGCTAATCCACTGTTTAATTATCATCTTAATTAAAAAAAAAAGATCTTTACCATTAGATAATAATCATGCCTTAACTAATTATGTCAGGGACACCGCTGCTGAGCACTCACAGGCAAACAGTCCCAACAGCAACAGAAATCACGTGCGAGGCACATGCGTTGATTTTGATAAATCACTAATGACAAAAAGATGGAGCTTCCTTGTGATCAGAAGCACGCAGGAATATAAATAAGTTTCAAATGATAGTGTACAAAAAATATTTATGTGCAATGCGCAGCTTTTGTGCCCATCTTGCCTTCAGTTCTTGTCTTTGACCATCGGACTTGAATGTTGTGAGGATAAATTATTGTGCGATGAATTTTGATAGTATTTGAAAAATAGACGAAAGTGGGTGTTAGATTTATAAATAGCGATGTTTTGGGTGTTATGTTTATAAATTTACCAACAATTTTAAAATAATTCATGAAAAACTTGTGTGTAATATCATATATAGGGGTGTAAACGAACAGAGCTTCTGCTCGTGTTCGGTTTGCTTAAAATTTAATTTGTTTGAAATAAACTCGTGTTTGAAATTGTTTGTGAAGTCACTGTTCGTGCTCTTTTCTTATTTTCTTAACGAACGAGGTGCTCTTTTCTTAACGAACGAGTCAAACACGAGCTGAAAACGAGCTGTTCGCGAACGACAAACAAGTTTGACATCCCTAATATTAATATATATAAATAATATATTTTATTAATTATATAACTTATATTATATAAATATATAATATCTATATTAGTATATTAATAATATAGTATATTAATATATTATTATTATTAATTTATTATATATTATAATTTATAAAATTTAATTTTTTTAAATATCATAAATTTTTTATATATAATTATTTTAAATTATTTTATATTTCAAACAATAATGATTCGAACACGAACGAACGCATCATTGTTCATGTTTGGTTCGTTTAACTAACCGAATGAAAAAAAATTGTCTCGTTTATTTATCCAACGAACCGAACACGAACTCATTGACGAACCGAACACGAGCTGTTCACGAACAACGAGCTTGTTTGACGGCCCTAATCATATAAATCTAGAGGGGGAGTAGTGTAATATATTTGCTCCTTGGTGGTTTTAACTGAAGGGAGGAAAGTGAAAGGACAAGGAGGTGAAAAGTCAAATTCATAGAGGACTCCATGACATTAATGCCTTTGGCACCAAACTAGAAAAGGTAAATGTGTAATTGTCTCTGTGTACTCTCTGTCCCAATGCAAATTTACTTGGGATGAATTCCTGAAACAAGAAATTTTCATACATATAAACTAAAACTAAAAATAAGATGTGGCCATTATATATAACCTAGATAATTAAAAATAATAAATGACATTAACCTTTTTTTTGTCATTTTTTTTTTTGTTCAGCCTTTGAATTGACTACTTGAGCTCGAGCATTGCTAGATCTTACTTGATGAAGTTACTTATGATTCTTTTTTTTTTTAACCAAAATCAAGTATTAATCTAATTATTTATAAAACTTAGACAATCTTTAATCTATTTTTTTTAAATTCTCACTGAAATATAAAAATTCATGATAAAATCTCAATTCATATTTTTCATTTTTAACAAATTCTCAATTGTTTGATTGTGGCATTCGTACATGAGTTTGATAGTTAAAAAAAAAAGGACCATAAGGTTAGTTTTGTAAACAGCAAAGTTTCAAGCGTTATGCTTGTAATTATCCCAACTATTTAGCCCTCTCTATAATTTTAGGATTTGTTTGGGATCACTTTTATTTATTTATTTTTTTTTTTTTTTAATGTTTGATTAGTACATTTTGGTATGCTTTTATTTCACTCAATCATTGAACAATATATACTCATGAATAAGCAAAAGTCACATACTCACTCTAAATTAGCCACAGAACATTAATCCTTTTCAAAATTAAAAAATATTTTATTAAAAACCAAAATATTGAGGCTTTCATCAATACCTACCTAATATATATAATATATATATATATATATTAATAATTAAAACATTAGTAGAAATCATGCGTACATTATGATAATATATTGTAAAGGGCATAAAATGTTATATCCCATAACAAAAGGAATTTTTTTGCTTACGACTGCAAAAGACATCACACAGTTGTACAGACACAAAAACATAGCAATCTATTATCATTATTGCTCTGAGAGCAGACTTTGCCCATCTCTATACCACGAAAACCAACATGCAATCATCAACAACCCACAATATTCTCCACCACAGATAAATAACTACAATAAAATTAAAAAAAAACTGCAAATAATTCCAATAAAAAGTAAGAATCTTATACTTCTCTTTGTGAGAGCAGAGATGCGAGTACTTTCAATCTACAAAAGAGAAGTATGTTGCGATTGGGATGCAAAATACAAAGAGCTTTCATCAAAATGTGGCACAACAAAGCTGATAAGTTTTTTTCCTTTTATTTCTCTTTTTCTTTTGACTGTTTGGATTTCTGTGAAAGCTTTCACTCACTCTTAGGGAGAGTCTGGCAACAAGCACATGTGTGGATATGCCCAAACATATATATTCTGCAAAAGATTAAATCTTCAAAAAAATTAAGAAAAAAGTATTGTGTAATGAAATCTTTTTGCTGCTTTGTTTCAAATCCTCTTTGCCTTTTTCTTTTTTTTTTTCCCCCTTTATAGTTTAGAAGAAAAGAGGAAGAATTCTTTCTTAAAACTTGTTCTTTTCTAAGTTTTGCAATCTTGTATTGAAATTAAAATATGATAAATTTATTTGTGTATGCGCTTGTTATTCATAGTGTTAGGTATGACACATATATCAAATTAGGGACAGATTCCGGAGCTGAACGAAGCGAGCCAGCGGAGCGGAGTGGTGCAGAAGCATTTGTCCAATCGTGGTAATTTCATCATGTGGGTTGTGGTGCGGGGGCAACACCCGCTAAGGGTAATTTTGTTATTACATATTGTACGCTATTGTAATCCTAAGGGCATCTTGTACTCTTTCTCTAAAATTGAAAGAAAAACCCACCGCTCTGCTACCAATGACGTAGACATCTTTGTCGAACCTCGTTAAATCTCTGTGTTTCTTTCTAGATTTGCGTCGATTATTGCTTTTTCTTTGCAATAAAATTCTCAACACATAGCTTGTGATTGTTTTTGTTAGTCGGGATCACAATATTTGAAACCAGTATAATGCCAAAAAATTTTGTTGATTTTCGGTAGATCCTTACGTGTGTTTGCACGCGCATACATCTACGATGCAGACCAACACAAAATTTTTTATGTGTGTTTGCATGCACATACGTCTAATATGCATGTGTTCTTTGTATATACTGAGAACACATGTAATTTTTCTCCATTAAGATTACGTTAAGAAAGCCATCACTCTGCACTTCAAATTTTCTTTTTATTTCCTTTTTTTTATGCACTGAATTCCTCTTTTCTGTCTATAACTTTCCTTACAGAAGTTAGATAAAATGTGTGTTAATTTATTTGAGTGTTTTGTTGTTCGTCTTATTACTTTCATGACAATCTCAATCGAAAGCAATTGCAATAAACCAACCGTGTCGAAAAGAGGCCGATTTCATCATGTTATTATCAACACACCAACACCCAGATACATATATACAAAAGCCAAAAACATAATCCCAAATCCTAAAAAAACTTTTAGCCTCTCACGCCCACCTTCCTCAAAAGCTTCTTTTAACCAAAGTGGCTATCTATGAAGTGATAAAAGCCAATGAAGCTAGAT